TTTTTTTTTTTTTTTTTAATTTCCGTTCTTCAGTGTCTTCCTGGTAATTGAAGCCTTTTCATATATAACATATGCGTAAAATTAGAAATGTGTATATTGGAGGTGCTAAGTTTCTTGCATGAAGTTTATATTAGTAAAGTAGTTTGTAGACCCTTAATATCTACACATCTATTGTCGTGTCCATATTGTCAGGAAGAATATATGGACCTCTCAACTCTGGAACATCGTTTACATGCTATTATTAAGCGTCCCATGAGTTATCACAACCAGCAGTTATCACATGCAAATTCTTCCCCTCCTATTGGTACAATGATTCCAACTCCTGGATTTCAACAAATTGGTAACTCAAGCTTGGCCGGGACGTCAACTGTAGATAGTTCCCTTGTTGCCATGAATTGTTCAAACACAATTGCATCGTCCGCCGTCAGCTCTGGTGGCTTTGCGCCAATGCGGAACTTGTCATCAGGAGGTGTGTGCAGTGGTCCTTGTAGTTCATCCGATGGTAATTTTTAGTTGTGTCCTCTAAAATAGTATTAATTTTCACGTTTCCTTTTCACTCGACCCATGATATGGTTTCTTTCAGGAAATTTAGCCACCGGATATCAGCAACCGTCAAATGCTTTTTTATCTAATAACGGTGGGAATAGAATGATAGCATCCATGAGTGCACAGAGAATGACGACTCAAATGATTCCCACTCCTGGAATCAGCAATTCTAAGAGCAACGATGCAAATATGAATGCCAGTAACAACACGTTTGTTACGGTGGAGCCGTCAATTAGTGGTGGTGCATGTCCCCCAGTCGAGTCTACAAGTGCATCACAGGCTATGCTGCAAAAGCAGAATGCTGGCAGTCAAAATAGTCGGATATTGCATAATATTGGTGGGAATATGGGTGGTGGGATCAGATCTACGTTGCAGCAGAAGTCCTTGGGACTATCAAATAGGCCCATGATTGGAGGGTTGGGAATGACAGGGAGAAATTTGCCTGTGGCTCAGGGCCCTGGGACCACCGAGGGATACTTAACTGGGACAGTGAGTGGGACCTCTGCAAAACCATTGCATCAACCTTTGGATCGATATCAACGACATGGAATGCACGGTACTGCAATACCCTCATCACTTACCTGGATGCTTGGGCAACAATTGCATACACTTTCTGGAGAATTTCCTCCAAGAATTATATTTGGAAAATTTCAAAACCCGACTATTCAATGGCATTAATTTTTTTATTGCACCTGTCCTTCAATTCATTTTGTTAATATATTATTAATTGAGCAATCATTGCTACACATTTTCCAGTAATTCTTACCATTCACTTATATACTTTAAGATCCAATTCTACCGACGTACTATTTAGGTATTTTCACAAATCCAATTATACCAACCTAATATTTAGGTATTTCACATCAAATCGAACTCCGAATTTTACATGTTAATTTATATCAATTCATAATAAAAATGTTATGATAATTAACATTAAGGGTGTGATTGGAAATAGTTCAGAATGCTATTTTCCGGACAACATCGATTAATTTTTCATTGAATTTGCTGAATATATAAACAAGTCTTGCTATGGGCTGGAGGGAGTATGTGTGGGTGTTCCAGTATGATGGTTGTTGAAATCTTGATCTTGCTGGAGTTTCTAAACTGTATGCTCACCACTCACTCTTTTCTGCTTGGCAGGTGACGTAAGAGGAACTTCTGATGCAGGGTCTGGTAATATGGTCTCTGTTGGGTCAATGATGAACAATCCTAGCTTGAATACAGGATCCATGCCCACAGAAACCCCTCAGATGATGACTAGCAGCCAGTCCCATGTGTACTCTACTCAGCAGCCAACAACCATGGAGTATCAATCAACTCATCAGCCAGAGAATATGAATTTCCAATCGCAACACCTCCAGCACCCACAAATTCTACATCCTTCCTGTCAGTTAAATCAGAGCCGGCAAGTTGCTCAGCATCAAGCTCAACAGGAAAACCAAATGCGAAACCAGCTTCTGATGAAGTGTAATTCTGTCAATCATCCTCAGTTGTTGTCCAATACATCTCCTGAAGTTAAGCCTTTGGTTAAGACGGAGCTTCTGGACGACAGTCAACTGTCAAACCCCTTCAATTTACCGGACATGAAGAACCAGTACCAGCATTGCTCTCTAGAAGAGCTTCCTGGGGCTTCTCAGCTTTTGTCACAGCCATCTGGTCATCCTCAACAGTTTGGTGCTAACTCTCAACATGATAATACCCTTCTTTCTGATAGCATTAGACCAGATGAATCAACACATCAAGGTATGCTCAATCAAGTCAACAACAAAATAACCGAGCAAGATTTAGCTCAACCTAATAAATTATCCTCAGAAGAGTCAGTGATTGGCCAACCCGACACTTCCCAATCAGGAGAAGGTAAATCTAACATTAGCCGGGAAAAGCAGTTCAAAAACCAACAGAAATGGCTGTTGTTTCTAAGGCATGCCCGTCGGTGCCCCGCCCCAGAAGGGAAATGCCCCGACAATAACTGCCTGACTGGTCAGAAGTTGTTGAAACACATGGAAAATTGCAACGTTTTTCAGTGTATGTATCCCCGTTGCCGTGCTACAAAGGTTTTGATCAATCATCACAGGCGTTGTCGGGACGAGAGCTGCCCTGTTTGTGTTCCTGTTAAGAATTTCGTGCAGGCGCAGCTGAAGCAGCTTGCGCGTTCTGATTTTAATTCTGGGATGCCTAGTTCGGTAGATGGATCATTGGATCCTCATGATACTGATGAAATCGGGGGAAGATCAACTAGAGACACCGGGCCGGTTAAAGCTGAAGCTCTGGAAGATTTACAACCTCCGACTAAACGCACCAAAATTGAACAAGATTCCCAACCTCTTGTCTCAGGGAGTGGATTTTCTGTTGCAATGGATTCTCATCATATGGAGCAGCATCATGATACTCTTCCTCCTTTAAGCGCTGAAGCAAAAATGAAGATTCATGGAAGTGTGGGACAATTAAATCCCAAAGATATTGAGATGAAAAAGGAGATGAAAGATGTTGCTCGCATCCACAGTACAGAAGCCGATCCCGTTGCACCAAATAATCCTGCTGCAGTTGGTGTTCAGGAGGCCGTTAAGTCGGAAAATGAACCGGAACAGGGTAAGATGGAAATCACTTCAGTACAATTGGAGAGTGCAGCCAAGTCTGGGAAGCCAAAGATAAAGGGGGTATCGATGATAGAATTGTTCACCCCTGAACAAGTTCGCCAGCACATTATGGGTCTTAGACAGTGGATAGGCCAGGTCTGTTTTTATCGTACATGTTCTTATATTTATAACTTGATATTTATGACATTATTCTGCTTGCTCTGAATTGCAAACTTGCTGCATATTTGAACCAGAAAATTTCCCCTATAGGCTACTGAAATGTTACCCTAGGCACCTCAGACCATACTATCATACACTACACATTTGACCTGCCATAGTGCGGGAGAGAGAATTCAGAAGCACAAGTTTCTCCATTTCTGTTTTTTCTCTCTCTTCGTTTATAACTGACCAGCGTCTTTATCTTCTTTCTGAAGAAGCATGATTTGACAGATATGCTCGTCATATGTCCGATTCACCTCCTGCTGATGCCACTTGCATTTTGTTTATTTCGCAGAGTAGAGCAAAGGCAGAGAGAAATCAAGCAATGGAGCATTCGATGAATGAAAATTCTTGCCAGTTGTGTGCAGTTGAGAAGCTTTCGTTTGAACCTCCACCTATATACTGTACTCCTTGTGGGGCACGTATCAAAAGAAATGCACCATATTACACTGTTGGAGCTGGTGAAACTCGCCATTGCTTATGTATTCCATGCTACAATGACTCTCGTGGAGACTCCATTGTGATAGATGGATCTACTATACCTAAGGCAAGGGTGGAGAGGAAGAAAAATGATGAGGAGACTGAAGAATGGGTATTTCTCATCTACTTGAAAATGTTCTTTGTTGTTTAAAATAGTACAATCAGATGCTAAAATTATTATTATTATTATAGTTGCCGTTATTATTATTATTATTGCATATTGCAGTGGGTTCAATGTGACAAGTGTGAGGCTTGGCAACATCAAATATGTGCATTATTTAATGGTAGAAGAAATGATGGTGGACAAGCTGAGTATACTTGTCCAAATTGTTATATTGAAGAAGTTGAGAGAGGCGAACGCATGCCATTACCACAGAGTGCTGTTCTTGGAGCCAAGGATTTGCCTAGAACAAATCTGAGTGATCACTTAGAGCAGCGATTATTTGCAAAGCTGAAGCAAGAGAGGCAGGACAGAGCAAGGGTTCAAGGCAAAGCTTTTGATGAGGTGATTGAATTATATTTGTTTGTAGCATGAGAATTATACATATATTTTGAATTTGGTTGCTTTATAGTTTTCGTATCAATATTAGAACTTAGAATTGTAGAATTTAAAACTATGATAAACTATTTATACTCAGCCAGGTAGTGGTATCAAACATCGTTAACTGGTTATAAGTGTGATCAAGTGACTTTCAAATTTTATTTTTATTATATCAATTATCCAGATATGCTGAATTCTATGTACCTTTTGTATTTAATAGCTAACATTACTTTTGTAAGCACTGTTATCTAGTTGATAAATATTGAGCCAATTCTTCCAGGTTCCTGGAGCAGAAGCACTTGTTGTACGAGTTGTATCCTCAGTCGACAAAAAATTGGATGTTAAACCGCGCTTTTTTGAAATTTTCCGAGAGGAAAATTATCCAACTGAGTTTCAATACAAGTCTAAGGTAAGGCTTAAAAGATGAATTAAATATATCGTATGAAATGTTTAAAGATTAATTACCTGAATGAGTCTACTTTCCGTGTGTTCTCTGCCTGTGGAAGACAGGTAGAAGTTGCACATAGAAACTGCCTTATTAAGGAAAGAAATATGGTTTGTGTGAATTTGATCTAGGTACCATATCCATATGTGTCGAAATTCAAGAACTTGGAACGTTGAATTTAAGATATATACCAAGTATAACTTTCATCGGTTTTCTGAATTTGGTTTTTCCATTAACAAATGTTATTGTTGGTTTTCTTTCATGTTTCTAGTCATCATCTAGATATAAGCCAAGATTTATTGCTTGAAATAATCACTTGCATTAGTTTGAGCTTTTTCATGCAACAAAGTTGGAAGCTGGTAACTGTGAAATTTTCTAATGTTGCTGGTGGATATATTGGCTGTCACTAATTAATTATTTTAAAATAATTTTTCAGGTGGTACTCTTATTTCAAAGAATCGAAGGTGTTGAAGTATGCTTGTTTGGAATGTACGTCCAAGAGTTTGGAGTGGACTGCCAGCAGCCAAATCACCGTAGAGTCTACCTCTCTTACCTGGACTCTGTCAAGTATTTCAGACCAGAGATCAAAGCAGTCACAGGAGAGGCTCTTAGGACTTTCGTATACCATGAAATTTTGGTAAATTTTGTCATTACTTTTCTTCAGTGTGAAATAATATTTCGACATTTTTAGTTCAATCACCTCAATATGTATTTGTCCTTAGATTGGTTATTTGGAATATTGCAAAATGCGTGGTTTCACAAGCTGCTACATATGGGCTTGCCCTCCATTAAAGGGTGAAGACTACATATTATACTGCCACCCAGAAATTCAAAAGACACCTAAATCTGATAAACTTCGGGAGTGGTAAGTTTGGACGTATTTTAATTGTGAAACTGTTGGATTTATTGTCGGGTGGCAACTCAATATTTTTCCTGGATTCGTGCAATCTGTTCCAGGTATTTGTCCATGTTACGGAAAGCCTCAAAGGAAAGTATTGTAGTTGAGCTGACTAATCTCTACGAGCATTTCTTTGTATCTACCGGTGAATGTAAAGCAAAGGTAACTGCAGCACGGTTGCCATACTTTGATGGAGATTACTGGCCGGGTGCTGCTGAAGACATCATTTATCAACTGCAACAAGAAGATGACGGGCGAAAACCGCATAAAAAGGGAACTTTCAAAAAGAGCATCACAAAAAGAGCTCTGAAGGCATCTGGTCAAACTGATCTTTCAGGAAACGCATCCAAGGATCTGATGCTAATGCACAAAGTAATTTTCTGTTCTTACTTTTTGTTTCTGTTTTCCCCCCATCTCTTTTACTTTCATAAACTCCTTTTGTGATCCGTCTAATTTCAGCATCCAGAAAACAGAAAATTAACTTACTATCTATTCAGCTATATTTTTAAGTAATTATTTTATTCTTTTCAAAGTCATAATTGTTAATTGTCCTTTATGGTTCTTATCCGATGCATGTGAAAATAAACTAATATTGCTCTAATTCCTATTAGTGGTAATTAATAGATCGTTTGTGTTTCATAGCTTGGCGAGACAATTTCCCCAATGAAGGAAGACTTTATCATGGTTCACTTACAACACTCATGCTCACACTGCTGTATACTAATGGTTGTTGGAATTCGATGGGTCTGCAGACAATGCAAAAAGTTTCAGCTCTGTGACAAGTAAGCTTTCATGCTTCCCTTATTTACATAAATTATTTGCTCATTTGTGACACTTCATAATGGTAGTGCTTTACTCGCACTTAAATAATAATAATAATAATAATAATAATAATAATAATAATAATAATAATAATAATAATAATAATCATAATAATAATAAGTTTGGCAATAAATCCGCTGATGTCCAACCTCACATATTCTTTATTTCAGGTGCAATGAGGCCGAGCAAAAGCGCGATGACAGAGAGAGACATCCCATTAACCACAAGGACAAGCACACACTTTATCCCGTAAGTCCAAGAAAAAACTAAAAAGCTGAAAATCCTTGAGATAAACTAAACATGGTCAAACCTATAAAAAATACTGAGAATGAGAGAACCGAAAAATTAATTTTGGGTTCCATCTGTCTGAACAACTCCTGTCTGACAGGACGGCCTCACACTAGTTTTTGCCGAAAAACTAACTATATATGGTCCTACAGGTCGAAATATCTGGAATCCCTGATGACACCAAGGACACCGAGGTCGTAGAGAGTGAATTCTTTGACACGAGACAGGCGTTCCTCAGCCTCTGTCAAGGTAATCACTACCAGTATGACACCCTCCGGCGAGCCAAGCACTCGTCGATGATGGTCCTGTACCATCTTCACAACCCCACGGCCCCAGCCTTTGTGACTACGTGCGCCGTGTGCCACCTGGACATAGAGGCCGGCCAGGGGTGGCGCTGTGACACGTGCCCAGATTACGATGTGTGTGGTGCCTGCTATCGCAAGGACGGGGGTGTTGACCATCCTCATCCTTTGACCAGTTGCCAGTCGAGTGAACATGACGCGCAGAACAAAGAAGCTAGGCAGTTACGGGTCACACAGGTAATTATTAGTACTTCTTCCTTTAGTTGAGAGAAATTTTATGCTGTGTTTACATGGATGTGGTGGAAAATAGTTAGTAGGCGAGTTTTTTCAATGACTAGTATGTATGTGGTGCATGGGGAAGCAATGTCCCATAAACATGTATACATGGTTATTTAGCTTTTGAGAGTATGTGATAAGATTTTGTTTAATAAAATAATTTTCATGCTTATCGCACATGTATTGCATAATTAACAAATATATATAATAAGTAATTGCCGTTTCATAAAAGCATGTGGTTATTTGACATCGCGACATATTATATATATAATATATTATGATCAAGGATATACATCACTAAAATAATTAGGTTGTCCACAATATGATAAATATATATTAAAGAGTCATAAAGAGATTTTTTTTTTAGTTCCACTTTTATCAAAGAAGTTACGGATTATGTTGGTATTATTAGTTTCATATTCTACTTCACATTTTCCAGTTCTTTGCAATATGATTAGAAATCATTTTTACTGAATAAAGAAAAGACATTGAGAAGATTGCAACCGATAGCAATTTTTTAATTATGTATTTTTTATTGTCTATGAAATTTCGCTTTTAGTAACAAAATTTTTTAATAGAAATGTTGACATACTATTAATAGTAAATTCCAACCTGTATATATATAGATAGGTAACTGGCCCGGTTTTCTCACTGCTCTATTATTTATTTATCCTTGGGTTTTGCAGCTGAGGAAAATGCTTGATCTCCTGGTGCATGCTTCTCAATGCCGGTCTGCACATTGCCAATATCCGAACTGCCGGAAGGTGAAGGGACTTTTCCGCCACGGTATGGGCTGCAAGACGCGTGCTTCTGGAGGTTGTCCTCTGTGCAAGAAAATGTGGTACCTCCTCCAGCTGCATGCCCGTGCTTGCAAAGAAACCGAATGCACTGTACCTCGTTGCAGGTGTGTTTCTAGATAATCTTTTCTGAAATTTGATAGATACTTACATACTAGTCGTAATTGCCAAACTAGCACAAGTTTTAATTCAACCATAAGTACTCTGAGAGCCTGGCCATTAACTAAATTTCCAAATACCCACTCGACATGTGTATCTACATGTCAGTTATACTTTATATCCCTAAGACCATCTCCAATCCTCTGCTCTTTTACACTACTTTGGAGTAGAGAATGCCAAATTTAACTTTCATCTCCAGTCATTCGCGCGAGCTACATTTTACGCTACATGAAATAAATATATTATTTCAGAAATATATATTTCAGAAATAATATAATATATACAACAAAAAAAATCAAAATTTAAATATTTTTAACAAAATAAATAATTTTTATTAATGTATACTTTGTCAAAATAATATATAGAATAAAAATCAATTAAAAAGAAAATAAAAATTGAAACAAAAGAACAGTGTCGTGCTACATGTAATCTTTAGAGTAGTGCGAATATGTAGCGCAGCATTAGAGCAAGTTTTTCGCACAAGCTTCAGCGTAGCATTATAGTGCAGCATTGGACTTGCTCTGAGTTATGTTTTGTGATTATTTAAGGAGGTAAAGTTCAGTAGAACCTCCGTAGATTAACACTTAATAAATTAAAACCTTTCCAAGTTGATAAATTTATGGTGTCTTAAGGTGTCATTAACCTATGGTGCTTTTATCGTACTTGTCATTTAGAGAGAACTGTACTTTTTGTATAGGTTTTAAACCGTAGGGAAGAGTTTGTATTTACCGATTAGGTGTGGAATGCACATTTTTCTAATTCCCATGTTTCTCAATATACAGGGACTTGAAGGATCACATGAGAAGGCTACAACAGCAGTCGGATTCACGTAGAAGGGCTGCTGTAAATGAAATGATGAGGCAACGTGCTGCAGAGGTTGCCGGCAATTCTTCATAATGACAGACGGGTTGTATGTATATAACTATTGCAATACCAGCTCTATTGAATTTCTATCTGAGGGTGACCCGTAAAATTTTGTGGTGTTAAAAAAACTACATTTTTTTCCCCAACCCCCACTAGTGGTAGGATTAAAATTTGTTGTTCTTTTTCTTTCTTTTTTTTTTTTCTTGTTCGACTTATTTATTAACTCCGCAAAAGGAATTTTGAGGAGTTTCGTATTCGCCATTCATGGGCGTGCGCGTGCCATATTTTGTGTTTGATGAGCTTTTGGTAGGCTTTGTTTATAGATCATAGACAGCTTACCTTGCTCTGAAGAGAAACTAGATGCTGTAAGTACCGAAAATCTGTCTATATATTGCTAGATAAGTGATTATTCATTGGGTTCGTTTTTCTTTTTTTTTTTTGTAACTTTGTAAATCTCGTCAGATCGTTCGAATGGCCGAGTGTACCATGATATAGCTTCTTGCTATCTTGACAGGAATATGTTATCTTCCTTTTTAAGTTGATGAATTTTTCACCCTGTAATTCATTACTTGTGGCTATGATTTTCATTTGAATGTCACTGTAATTTGTCATCTGATCTTATTTACGAAAGGCAAGCTATTTGATTCAAAGTTTGTGCAGTTTTTACCGTTCGCCAACTGCAAATTGCTCGTGGGCGAAAACTATTACCAATAAAGACTTTGCTCATAAGATATTCGCGCCAAGGTAATGAATTTGAATTGTGCTCTCGTTTTTAAGAATTCGAAATGAAAGCTCTGATCGGAAAAACTCAGGAACTCTATGAACTGCTTTCTGAGTATAAGAAAAACCAGCATTTTACCTGCAGTGTAGTATCTGTCAAAAAAATCATATCTGAAAACAAAAAAAAAAAATAAAAATAAAAAAAGGTGAAGAGTATTTTTATTTTTCAAAATATTACAGTTTACCTTTAACACCAAAATAACTAACCACCCACATTCCTAATAACATCCTCAATGAAACTTTTCTGAGCCTCATAAGCAGACTTACTTTCCTCCATAGCTTCCCTACTCTTCATCTTCAGCTCCTTCACCTTCTCTCTAACAACCCCACCACCGCCGCCCATTAGCCGCCTCACCGCTGCCTCTATCTCTGGGGCTGCCACTATCTCCGGCGGTCGGTCCCCTCTAAAATCTGTCGAGTACTCTATCCTCACAGCCTCAGCCAATCCCAGCTCCCTCACGAGCAAAAACGCGTTCACCTGCTGCTCCGCGTACTGCGGGAAAGCAGCCACCGGCACACCG